GTAATAAGTTGTACTAGATTGTCTAACTAAAGGGACTGAGTGGTGTAAAAGCATATAAGCAGATAGTAGCTTGCATGACTAGCCACGAAGTGTTGAATCATGACAAAAATGAGAACAACGAGACACTACAGAAAATATTTACATCAAATTTCGTTCTGCGCCCGTAAACCCTGAATAAACCGATTCCCTCGAAGTTCTAAGATAATTCGAGAGGAACTTAAAAACTACAAAAAAACGAAGAACAGAGCATAAATTGGACTCGTTAGGTATGTACAGCAGTGGCTTTGATGAGATCCGTGTGTATCGTTTGATCCAGCGTTCCCTAAAAAGTTGTCACTCGTAGATTTAAACAAGAAGGAGTTCTTCTGTTCCACCTAGTTGTTAAATCCCAACGCCCCTTTTGACAGTAAGTGGTGTCGTGCCAATATCATCTCCGACGGTCCAGCCTGATAAATTAAGTAATTAAGGTGGAAAATATGGCTCACGGGATAGCCTCCTCAACTATATGTGTCTTCGACTTTTGCACATTCTCATCTATTTTCAAGGAACTAACAGCCAGATTAGGGTGTCAAACTTCACTTTTTGGCTAATTTCCACATCAATGCTCCTATTATTTTAGGGCCAACTGAAATTTCTTTGCGGTATACTTTCCCTCAAATTGAGTTTTTAATAGATCACCTTCTGCAACCTATGATCTCCAAGTGCCGCCGCTAGATAACTCAACCCTGCAGATGAAACATACGCTAGCAACCTTAGCAGACATCTTTATCGTACACAAGTTTGGTTTAAATATCCTCTGCTGATAATGCCGCCTACAACTTCAATACCTTCATGCAGTTACCGAAATCTCTCGATGAAGACGCGCGCAAAATACAGACAAAACTCTTCCTACACACTCGATAACCGTCTGTACTTTAAGTCCCTCGCTTGACTTTTGTGGCTTCAAGTCTAGACTGCTTTAAACCAGTTCCTTTCCCCTCATGATTCTATCATTGGTTATTTCGAAATATATTTTCCCTCCTAGTAGTATTCAATTTCACAGTTTCTTTCGTATTTTTAACACTGCAGGTGCTCAAATCCAACATGGAGTCTCGATTGAAAGTTTTCTTTGGCAATTTGGAGAAATTCGCCGCCCGTTGGTATCAACTCAGACCCAGCACGGAACTCCTACACTCCGGGGACCGCAAGCAGGGCCTAGAGGCCGTCCAAGTCATTCGCACACGCAAAGAAGAATTCGGGGAAATGGAAGAAACACTGAACGGACTCTTGTACGTCTATCGGAAGTGTACTTTGATGAAAATCTAGCGAAACATACTGCGAATCTGTTTGGTTGAAGGATAAGAGGAATATAGGTTTTTAAAGGGACTGCTACCGGTTGGAAGGTGTTGTTCTGTGTGCTGGTGAAAGAACATAATTCCAACGTGTTGTCGAACCTTGTGCGGTGAAATATCCAGTAGAAACATTTTCGAATATCTGGTATTTAATATATTGCATGAGTCCCCTAGTCAGCGCGTTTGGTGGGGGCAAAAAAGGCCACACGAGAAATTAATCGAACCTGAGAAGTTTGCTTGGGGAACCCTCCCTCCCCAGAACTTCAGAGGTCGTGCATTCTGTTTGTGAAAACCTAAAGTGGCTCACTGGAACATTTTTGGTTCATGCCGCCAGCCGCGTCTGCATGCCAAGTGTGTCCCTGACGTTTTGTAGATTTCCCTGCACGATGAGTATTCTGCCATCTTCAGCCAATCAAATGAAGCGGGATTATCGATTTTCTTAGAGCTTATATGCTTATCAAGCAGCGAGTTGACCGATAGTGTGAGAAAGGCCGATAGCGCACGGAGTGGACATTTACGCGTAGGGCCCGACAGAGCGAAGGCAGAATTATTCACGCTCAGTTGCGCTGAGCGGCAGACAGCCAATAAGAGATTTGAATAGCTGACCGAATTTGTCAGCCTTGGGCTGACAAATGTTTCTTTTTCGCTGCCTCAGCCCTCGTTTGGACATCTGTGTGGCTTGCCAGCCGCTGCTGGTGCGCTTCAGGATCACAGTGGACGGTTTT